TTTTTTCGATGCTTTAATAATGAATAAAAAACTTAGTAGGCATTACAAGTTTTACCAGGAAAATATTAACGAGACTAATATTTTAAAAAACCCCAACAACATGGGCTGGGACGAGCTTTGGAAAGTCATAGCCCTGCCTAGGACCCTCTGTTCTAGCCGTCACGTTCTTTCTCTATGTGTGTGACAGGGAACAGCAGGTACCGCCGGCCAGGTTCGTCCAGATCCTCTAGCAGTTCCAGCGGTCGTTCTCCCACCAGGTAATGAAGAAAATAATAATAATAGTCTTCACTTTTCTTTTATCAGCCGCTTATACCCTTTTGGGTGTAGCGGGAAGAAAGAGGCGTCTCTCTGTTGCCAGCCGGAGAGCTTGGGTCAGGTGGATGCTGTGGGTGGTTAATGTATCCCTGACTCCATCTATCCAGGTCTTTCTCGGTCGCCCGCTAATAATAATAACATCACTAAACACTAAACGCAATCTTTTATATTGGGTTATAGAGTATATCATAACCTTTATCTCTCTGAGATCCGCAATGTGCTATAATATGCCGTACTACAAGACAGGTTCCATATCTAACTCAATGCACGTTCTGCTCATGCTAGACACGATTGCTTCTTTGTATCTGTTGTTGTTGATATGCGGTTTCTGATGGTCAGCACCGCTAACCCTTTAAGGGAGTAGCTGATACATGTGTCCGGCCAGCAACATAACATGGCAATGTTGAGGCACATTACCAGCCAGCACACACAAATCAGAAACATAAATTAGCATAAAATATCATAGTTTGCATGTTGTCATGTTGTTGCCTGCTTTCATAAGTTTCAGATTAAGAAAACAGAATCGTAGAATCTGTAAGGAAAAACGGTTTATTAGTCACGCTTGTTTTGTTTCTTTCACAGTTCTCCAAAACTAGAGTTGTCCAATGACCAGATTGCGCGTTCTCGATAGGTTAAATCCTTATTTCCCCAGGGAACAGCTTAAAACAACAACAGCACCGAAGAGAGAGATAGAGTGAATAGAATATGCTTGAGAATATTCCAAACATCTGCTGCTGTTGCAGAAGCCACATACCATTAATTAACGCAGCAGCTCCTGCTGTTGCTGATCCTACATAGACACAGTTGAGAAGTATTACATATTATATGGTTCCTTAGGGGAGTAAAATATTTCAGTTCCCTTTCCCTACCCGTGTACAACACTGAGACATCATCCAGAAAATGTAATGATGATTATTATATTCCTAAACAGAAGAGCCCGGAGCAATAACAGGCCAGTCTCTCGCTATTCCAGAGCAAATTCTCCAAACCAAAGCCTCAATCACAGCCCAGACAATTTAGACACCACACTTCTACTCAGGCCCGTACGCAGGTCGAGGTGAGAGAATCTGTGACCTTCTTGTTATGACCCAGAGTTAACCTTCTTGTACATCTTTGGCGTTTCACGCTTGTGTGGCTGTCGTTGTGTGTTTCGTTTATTGTATCTGTGGTATGTCTGTATATATTCATAAACGAAACGAGACCGATAGATATACGGATGTGATGGATGTATACACAGTATTATGTATACA